TCCTCCTCCTCTTCCTCCTCCTCCTCCTCCTCCACGCCCATGCCTTACCTCTCACCCACATTACCATTCCATCTCCTTTTACCATTCCTCTCACCTCCTCTTTTCTTCCCCACCTGGGCAGACATAGCTAGATCTCCCACCACTGATGCTGAGTCCAGCGAGCAGCATAAGTTCCTGAAATGCATGTTAGTGGTGTTCAGTGGCCACCATACGTGGAAAATCTAGCTGCTCTTCATTTCGCGTACTCTGCATGGAAGGTCCTTCCCAGAAACAGAATACTAACTTTCTAACTTCCCTGGGCCACATACTTAACCACTACCTCCACCAACTTCTTTCTCTTTTTCGCAGACCAATTACCAAGCTTAAAGTCAAACCCAAACACCGAGTGGGCAGGGGGCCAATCAAGAGGTAAATATTCAGGCTGGGTAGGGAGAAGAGGGAGCACAGAATCATGAGGTTGGGGAAAGGGAGGTGTGGTCAGGAGGAGGTCCCAAAGAGGCCTGCTTGGCTGGCAGAGCTTTCTGGGAGGTGAAGCAGCAGCAGCTATTACAGATCACCTTCCAGATCGTCCATCGAAGTAAGGCTGACCCTCATATTGGTGTCTAGGGGATTATGCTTGTCACAGGATTTTTTTTCCCATCCACTACCCTTTCCAGGACTAGCCTTTAGGACTACTGCTGTTCCACATGCGTATGTGTCTTACTCAGTGAGCTCTGATAAATAACGTGGTGCTTTGCTCCTTCAGACACCTTGCTTGCCTCTCCCAAGGAAGGTAAGGTTGCCTAAAGGATCAGTGTTCTCATCCTAATTTATTCTGATTAATTTTTTAAAACAAATGCTACCAGCATACCTGAGATGGAGTGAGACTCAGGGTCCCCTTTGGAATTTTTACCAGGGAAGGAGTCAGATGGGCAGTCCCTGCATCTGGCTAAGTCTACACAGTTAGGCTCCCAGGCCCATCATTTTCCTCCTGGGCCCCTTTAGAATTCAAGAGAATGGAAAGCTTTCCACCAGGTGATTACATCTAACTTGTCTTCAAAAGGCACTTTGCGGGGCCGGCAAGTGGCATAGTGGTTAAGGGCACTGGACTCCCACATGGCCAACCATGGTTTGAGTCCCAGACCTGGTGATTTGCTTTCTCTCTCCCTCTCTCTCTCTCTCTCTCTCTCTTCAAATTAAAATATAATTAATTAATTAATTAATTAATTATAGTTAAAAATGTAGTAAAAGGCACTTTGCACATTAAGAGTCTCCTTAATTTAAAAATGTGGGGCTAGCCAGTGGCATGGTGGTTAAGGCACTGGACTTCCACATGACTGCCCACGGTTCAAGTCCCAGACGTGGCAGCTTGCTTTCTCACTTTCCCTCTCTCTGTCTCTGTCTCTCTTTGCTGAGAGCATGTGCCCTGGGGCAAATTTTAAAAAGAATAATAATGAGAAATAACAATCAATTTTAAAGTAAAGTCTCCTTGATAATGTCTTCAGCAGTGACAGGTACAGAGATTTTATCTTTTTCTATCGTCCCCTCCTCAGCAAGTTCTGGGACCTCTCAGCAGTCCCCTGGGATCCCTCATTCCCCAGATTCTCCCTCTGGTGACTTCAAGGGAGCTCAGAATTTGGGGGTGTTCTTGTAGCGCTCTTCTAGTGTAGGGTCATTGTCCAACATGGTGATACCCTGACCTTCCTCGACTCCACACTGAAGTACACATGCCATTTTTCTTTTGTTTGTTGTAGGAGAAGGCAGTTTAGAAGATAGGTATCTTTTCCTGTGATGGCCTCTTGACTTTTATTTTCAGTCAGACAGGATTTGGGGAGAGCACCTAATCACTTTGATCTTCTGGACCCATTTATCTGGAGCTTCCAAAGGTATTCTATAAAGTCTCCAGGCTTCCTTTGTCTGCTTTGTTTATCAGCTCTACCTCCTCCTTCCATCTTCCTAGCCAGTGGCTTCAAGTCGTCATGTCCCATCCTTCCTCAGACCATCAAGTGCTGGGGCACTTGACTATAATAACTCACAGCCATATTAGCCTCCTAGGCCCACTCCACCAAAGCCAGGCCTCATCTGCCTCCCTTCCTCTCTGGGCTCCACCCAGCCATCCTGGGAGGAGTGTTCTCTCCTCCACACGCCTCACTGTGGCTCTCACTCCATTTGTATCAGTAAACAGTTGACTCTCTCAAGCATCTGCAGTGTTTTCAGGCTCTGCTTCTCTAGTGGAGTCTTGTCTTCCTGCTCACGTGGCTGTGGGACACTCTGTTAATGTTGAAATCGCAGAGGCGTGGACTACCACCTTAAAGACTTCCACGGCTCAGCTGGGGTCCAGAGGCGTCTTCTCCATTTTGTTATTCGCATCCACTTTTCTTCTTTGTCATGTGGTCCCTCCAACTTTTGTCTGTCCTGCATGTATCCATCTTCATTTGTACATATTGCCAGCGCCAGTCCTTCCTACCTACGCCTTCCCGGTCTGTTCTTCCTTAATGGCCCATCATGTTCTGTCCGACATGGAAGCCCCTCCGGCCTCTGAGAAGCCATTTAGACTCAACACTTCCTTGGTTCTTTGCATCCTGACTCCTTCGGTTATTTCAGTCTCAGTGTAGAAGGATCTGCTCATCCTAGCTATTCAGGCTTCCTGTTTGCATCAGCCATGCCCTTTGACCGTCTCTTTCAGCTACGTTGTCCTAAGGCTTTCCATTCTATTTCCACCTCAGCCTTGGTCTTGGTCTCCTTTAGGGCCAGCAACCTGAAACCATTTGAAACAAGGTTTCTGTCCAGCGAGTCCAGATTAGCCACCCTTCCCTTAGGGCTCTTCTGCTGCAGAAAGGCCTGCGAGGACCCTCCTGTCTGGGTAGTTGAGGCTATTTCAGCTTGGAAACTCAGTTCCTTTGTGTTTCCCAAGGGAAACGTAGAAGAGGGGATGAAGAAAGACCATGAAAGGCCGGAGGGATGGCAGAGGCGTGGAGTGGGAGGAGGGCTATGGGGCATGAGGCAGGAGCATTGTTTCACCCTGCTGCACCTCACTCCTGTCCCCCCAGGCTGCTGGCCCAGCGGCAGCAACACTCCTTTGGTCTGCATGGGGTGGCGTGTGTGGGCACGGAGGCCCACCTCTCCCTCTGTTCCCTGGAGTTCTATCGAGCCAATGACACCACCAGGTGCCCAGGGGGGGCCCCTGTGGTGATAAGCTGTGTGCCAGGCCCTCTCTACTCAGCGTCCAGTGGCCAGAAGAAACAACAGTCAAAACCTCAGTGGGAGGTATGTGACAATGAGGATGACCTTTCCCACCCCTGGTGGAGGTCCCCCTAGCCTGGCCACCCAGATTAAGCACAGCCCTCACCTTCGAGGACAGAGAGAAACCTTCCAGGGGGTGGGCCACAGACCTGGTAACACTCACTGACCACGCCCCCTCCCAGATCTCCCAGGTCCACTTGGCCCTGGCCATGCTGTTCCCATTCATCTTTGTTGGGCACATCTCTCTCTTCTCTAGGCCCGCGTACGTCTAAAGGGTGGTGCCCATCCTGGAGAGGGCCGGGTGGAAGTCCTGAAGGCTGGCACGTGGGGCACAGTCTGTGACCGCAAGTGGGACCTGCAGGCAGCCAGCGTGGTGTGTCGAGAGCTGGGCTTTGGGAGCGCTCGAGAGGCTCTGAGTGGCGCCCGCATGGGGCAGGGTGAGGGGGCATGGATGTGGGAGGGAGAGGGGGGAAGGTGCATCGCTTAGAAGGGCAGACAGTGAAGGTCTAGTTGCCCCTACTGATCTCTCATTTCTGACTCCAGGCATGGGCGCCATCCACCTGAGTGAGGTTCGGTGCTCTGGACAGGAGCCCTCCCTCTGGAAGTGCCCCTACAGGAATATCACAGCTGAGGACTGTGCCCACAGCCAGGATGCCGGGGTCCGATGCAACCTACCCTACACTGGGGTTGAGACCAAGGTCAGTCATACTTTCCACAGCAGGTAAGGTCTCCAGTTCTCATCCCATCCAGTGCTGGCTTCCGATCTGCAGTCCGATGGCTCCCTGTCCACTGCCCCAGACCCGTGCCACCCTGCCGCTCCCTCCCAACCCCACCACTTGCTAGCCTTTTAAGTGTCTCTGAGTCACTCTTCAGACTCCCACCACCCCAGCCCAAAAGCTTCCCCTACCACTTCCATTCTGTGTCACTGCAGATCCGACTGAGTGGGGGCCGCAGCCGACATGAGGGGCGAGTGGAGGTGCAAATAGGGGGACCTGGATCCCCTCGCTGGGGTCTCATCTGTGGGGATGACTGGGGGACACTGGAGGCCATGGTGGTCTGCAGGCAACTTGGTCTGGGCTACGCCAACCACGGCCTGCAGGTGAGTGGGAAGGAGGGGAGGCAAAACTGTTGTCTCCAAAACCTGTTTTGAGCAGAGGACTGGAAATGAGACCCTTAGCCAGGAGGCTGGATCCTGGGGCCTCACGAATACCTATATATATTCCCAGGAGACCTGGTACTGGGACTCAGGGAACGTAACAGAGGTGGTGATGAGTGGAGTGCGCTGCACAGGGACTGAGCTGTCCCTGGACCAATGTGCCCATCATGGCACCCACATTGCCTGCAAGAGGACGGGGACCCGCTTCACTGCTGGAGTCATCTGTTCTGAGAGTGAGTGAAGGGCAGTGCAGTGCTGGACAAGGAAGAGAGGGTCTGGGCCACCCCTTTCCCTTTGTAGAGAAAGAGAGTTGTAATCTGGAGGGGGGACTTCATCCCCATGGTGAGGAAGTCTCGCCTACTCCAGGAGGGAGGAGCTTAGCCCACCTGTCCCTGCCCCTCAGCAGTGAGCTCTGCCCTCCTCCTGTCTCTGCGCAGCCGCGTCGGATCTGCTGTTGCACTCGGCTCTCGTGCAGGAGACGGCCTACATTGAGGACCGGCCCCTGCACATGCTGTACTGTGCTGCAGAGGAGAACTGCCTGGCCAGCTCAGCCCGCTCGGCCAACTGGCCTTATGGCCACCGGCGCCTGCTCCGATTCTCCTCCCAAATCCACAACCTGGGACGAGCAGACTTCAGGCCCAAGGCTGGGCGCCACTCCTGGGTGTGGCATGAATGCCACGGGTGAGAGGGTAGGGGGTTGAGTACAAGGGCATGGCCACAGGGAATGGGACAAGCCTGTGAGAAGGGAAGAGGAAGAAAACAGGTCTCCTGTCCCTTGTCCCCACAGGCATTACCACAGTATGGACATCTTCACTCACTACGATATCCTGACCCCCAATGGCACCAAGGTGGCTGAGGGCCACAAAGCTAGTTTCTGTCTAGAAGACACTGAGTGTCAGGAGGGTGAGTTTGGGCCTAGAGTGAACTTTGACACCTCTGTGGCACAGCCCTTCCTTACACTGACACATGCCGATTCCTTCAGACGTCGCCAAGAGGTACGAGTGTGCCAACTTTGGAGAGCAGGGCATCACAGTAGGCTGCTGGGATCTCTACCGGCACGACATCGACTGTCAGTGGATAGACATCACAGACGTGAAGCCAGGAAACTATATCCTCCAGGTACCCGCAGTCGGGGGCTTCCAGGTAGCAAGTAGGAGGAGTGTTAAAAACAACTTTGGAGGGCCAGCCAGTGGCGTGGAGGTTAAGGCAGCTGGATCCCACAATGACCAATTTCATGGTTCAAGTCCCAGACTCAGCAGCTTGAAAAACACAGTGGGCATGTGTGTGCGTGTCCAAAATCCCGAGAATGGGGAAGGGATTTTGGTGTGTCCACCCACCCTTCTCCCCAGCAAGTGCATGCACCCTATGGCAAATTAAAACACACGCACATCTTTGGATTTGGGGTCTGCAGCAGGGTTAATCCCTTTCCTCACTCACAGGTGGTCATCAACCCAAATTATGAAGTAGCAGAGAGTGACTTCACCAACAACGCAATGAAGTGTAACTGCAAATATGATGGCCATCGCATCTGGGTGCATAACTGCCACATTGGTATTTGATGGGAAGAGCAACCCAGGGAGGTGGGGGTGGTGGAGGCGGGTAAACACTTGTTCTCTTTTCTCTAAGCCATTTCTGTTTTCCCATCCACCTTCAGATCTCTCTACTTCTATCCGCCCTTCCTCACAATGGGTCGTCTTCCTGCCTCTGAGCAGGGCACCTCCCAAACTCCCCATCCACCCCACAGGTGACGCCTTCAGTGAAGAGGCCAACAGGAGGTTCGAGCGCTATCCTGGCCAGACCAGCAACCAGATCATCTAAAGTACCACCACCCTCATCCGCAAACCACCACTGGCCCCTCCCGGCAGGGGTGTGAGGCTGCCATTACCTCAGGAGCTTACCCAGGAACCCCTGATATCAGCAGGCCCACTGCGCTCATCCACCTGTGCTCCATGGACACAGAACTGCCAAGAAGAAGTTATTGCCTCCTTCCCAGGCCAGATGTCAGTATCCGTGGCCAAGCGTGGGGAATCTTTGCTCCCAGGCCCAGCACCGAGCAGAACACACATGAAGAGCAGCACCTGACTAACTGCCCAGAATGACAGATGGCAGCAGCTCGTTTTCTTGAACAGAGAGGTCAAGACGGTCAGCTCCAGTATCTCTCCTAAATTCAGGGCAGATACAGCTTTACCTCTAGCCTCTGGTGGGGAAAGAGATCCAGCCCATCCCACCACCCCCATTTTTGACTATAACATGTTGCTAGGTATAATTTTATTTTATATAAAAAGTGTTTTTGCGATTCTTCAGAGCCCAGGGATTGGTGCTGGTGGTTGGAGGGACCTGCCCCCACTTTAATCCTCTGCCCAGATGCCCTCGGAGCCCAGGCTAGGAAGGCAAAGAAAAATAATCAGAGCAGGAGCCTTATACTCTTGCCGATCCATTCATTCTGTGACCTCAGGGGTCACATATAAGGTCAATGTCTCTGGACCCCGCCGGATCCGCACTGCCAGCTGGGATTGGGTTCGAACAGCTTCATAAACATCTTCAGCATTTTGTACCAGCTGCTCCCCAATAGCCAAGATCACATCACCAGGCCGTAGACCAGCACTGTGGAGAGGGGAGGGAGTGGACAGTTCAGTACAGAGACATCTGCACACCTCGCCCATCCCCTGACAGTGCAGCCTCTCGCTCACCGGTGCGCTGGGGAGCCCAGGATGACTTTATGGATGAGTACACCATGCTGAACATCAGGAAAGCTTGGTTCTCGAAGCTGCAGTTCTGCAAGGATGCTAAAAGGACACAGATCACCCTCTTAGCCACACCCAAGCAGTCTCCCCATCTTCAGTTCACATCAAGTTGCTCATCAACATGCTGACTAATATACAGACTGGATATGTGCTAGGTATGAAAGATGTAAAAGGAAGTCACCGCCTTCTAGCAGTTGAGAGTAGGATATGTACATAAAAGTTCCAAAGACATGCAACTGTTAAGTCAGTAGCACTAGTGTCACTCTAGAACCCTAAGAGAAGCTTCGGGGAGAGAGTAGAACTTTAGCTAAGCCTAGAAGGCTAGGTCTGGTTCTAACTGTGTAACAAGGACAGTAGGAAAGCGAGAAAATCAGGCTAGAGCAGAGGATTCATGTGAGAAATAATAGAAGCCAGGTCTGGAAGGCTGACTTAGAGACGGATGGAAAAATGGCCCTTACATGCCAGGTTTATGGATTGAAGGCTTTAAATCAAAGCAGTTAGCAGGCTAAAATCAATCTGGTGACAGGTACACAAAACGAAATGGGGTGAGAAAGTCGAGATCCCGACAGCGGATAGCTCTTATGATAGCTTCAGGTGCGAGGCAGCACATCTTAGAGAAATGAGAGCAAAGCTCAATGGAAGTGGCAGTCGCCTACCACTGGTCACACTGGTGGTCCTACAGTCGCTGCCCCTAACCTAACGCACCTGGGAGTCAGAGTCAGCATCATCACCCCAATGTAGCGACGCCGGGATCCACTGATTCCGAACCAAGAATCTGTGACAGAAGGACAAGTGAGCCTCACCCTGCTGTATCCTCCCAACAGATCCTCCTCCAGCAAGGGCCAGTGAATGCCCTCCCCTATGCTCTACCCACCAGTTCAAATGAACCCTTTCCCCTTAAGCAAGGCTCACTCTTTTTTTCCCCACGATGCAGAAACTCTCGCAGGCGATCAGAAGGGATGGCAAAGGAGATTCCAGCTGTGACCTTCATGGTGTTCACTCCAATCACCTCCCCATCCTGCAGGGACACAGCCCCTTGTTCCCTAGCCCGAACAGATAGTAGGGGGTGGGAATACCTGGACAAGAGTAGCAAGGAGTGTTGGGGCCCTCTGGCTGGACACTGGGAGCCAGCCATCAGGAGATTGCTCAGAAACTTGACCAAACATTCCTGAATTAGGGAACACCCACCCTTTCCACACTGACCTGGGGCAGGGATTCTCTGAAGAAAGGATGTCCCACTCACCAGGTTAACCAGGGGACCTCCAGAGTTCCCAAACTGCAGGACAAGGAGAAAACATGGGAGAGATCTGGGGATTCCATGACTGTGGGCGCAAGCAGGCTAGGAAGCAGGCACTTTCTCCAAATTCCCTCCTTTCCCAGCCCATAAATGAGTGGCCATTTTTGCAGCCCAACCTCTGTAGGTAGGGTCATCCACCACATACCAGTCGGCCTCAGTACCACAGGCTGTGCCCTCCCCCAGCCTAGTTTGTCATGTCCCTCCTATCCAGACGCACATCAATAGCTGCATCAGTCTGAATGTATTCCACATTGGTCTGCGGGAGTCCCAGGTCTCTGGCTGGTCGCTGAGCAGAGCTGACAATGCCTGATGTGATCGTGTTCTGCAGTGCAAAGGGACTTCCCATGGCAACAACAAACTCCCCTTGCCGGACATCGGCAGACCGTCCCAGAGGCAGCGTGGGGAGGGGCTCCTACGGGCGAATGAGTACAAGAGGCCTGTCATCTCGAGATGCAAGCAAATAAACAACTCCGACCAGACCCGGCCGACCCTGACCCCCACCGTGGTCTGAATCCGCAGAGTGGCGATGTCTGCCACGGGATCCACAGCTGTGACCACGGCCTCGTATGTCTCGCCGCTGAGCAGTCTCACTCGAACTCGGCGCCGATCAGCCACCACATGGGCGTTGGTAACGATAAGCCCGTCAGCTGCCACCACGAATCCTGAGCCATTTGAGATAGGGACTTCACGGCCGGAGAAAGGGTGCCTGGGATGGGGAGAAGGCATGGATATGAGAAGGCTCCGATTCCGCGTGCTCACCTGCCCTCCGCCCGGTGGTCTCCATGCCTCCCAGTCTGCCCCATTACCGGCCCAGGATCTCGATATAGACCACAGCAGGTGCTGTCTTCTCCACCACGTCTGCGATGAAGTTGTACTGGCTCCGAGGAGAGGTGGGCGGCGGGCCAGGAACTGCGGCAAGGACGGGCGGGGCACCCCGACCCCCTCCCCACAACAGCAAAAGCACTGCTCCCCCTGCGCCCAGTGTCACTGCTAGCCACCGTCGCCGATCGGTTCCGGGGAACCCTGAGGCCTCCCGCGTCCCGGGATCTGAGGTTCCTGCAGTCAGCCATGCCCAGTGATCCACGGTCTCAGATGTCAGACACGTCCGAGGTTCAGAGACCCCCACAGACAACCGGGCCCGGAGACTGGGGGCCCCATAAGTCACCCGGGTCCGGGGGTCAGGAGTTCCTGACGTCGGCAGACCCCGGAGGTCACGGGTCAACAAGTGTCCCCTGCCCCAGCGAATCCCCGCCAAAGCCCGCCATCCCTGGAGGCTCCAGCCTGCACCCCGCCCCGCCCTCAGCGCTGCCATCAGCTCCGCCTTGGCTGCCTCGTCGCCCGCCCTACCCAGAGGCGGCGCCCAGGACTGCGGCCGGCCGAGGGCAGGACCGGCGCACGCCGGGACCTGAAGTCCGCCAGCAGTGCACGCCGGGACCAGGGTTCCGGGAGCCCGACTCCGCCCGCCCGGGGCATGCCGGGAACTGTGGTCCCTGCGGGACGCGAGCCGTGAGGCTGCCCGAGGCGCCGCGGGGCATGCTGGGACCCCTAGCCCTTCCGGGGCGCTTCGGGACTTCAGGTCCCGGCACCCCGGGCGGATGCCCCGAGACTCCGCCTTCCCAGGAGCCCCTGCGGCCAGGCGCGAAGATGGCGGCCGCGGCGGCGGGCGG